ACACACACACACACACACACACACACACACACACAGTGTCTCTTTACCAGTAACTTTAATATGTAAGTGTGTGTGTGTTTACATACAAGCACACACACTAAAATTACTATATTTTCTTGCATACAACACACCTCGGAATATAGTACATACCTTGTTTTTGAAAGGTAGAGTGAAGAAAAATAGATTTTTCCAGCCTTATGGCTGCACTGAACAGAGACAGGTTAATCTTAAACTGACTCTACCTCCTTTTCCTGCTTAGGCTCATAGGAGCAGCTAGCAAACAGCAAACGTATCCTAAGAAAAGTTACCCTGATTAGTGAAACATCAAGACCATTAAAAAGAAAAAAGGATCGTTAACACCTGTGGAGTGAAAAACAATGGTTCATTAAGTCAGTTGACTCCTTCCACTGCCTGAATAATAATGCTGCTGCACTCTGGAGCAGCAATCAAAGCAGGGTGCTTCTGAAGCAGAAAATCAGCTTCCCTGCTTAATACTTGCAACTCAGTTTTGGAAGTCTTGACTTTTTTGGGGGAAAGTGCATGTTGTATGTGAGAAAATGTGGTGAAAAATTAAGAGTTTTATGTAATAAAAGCAGTACTAAATATCTGAAATTCCAAAAAGCAAATTTACTTATAATGACTGAAGATTGAGCAAATGTTTTTCACAGAGATTGTTCAGTTGTTCCTTTGTTTTGAACATATGGGAAATCAAAATGAATAATCTGCTCGCTCTAAATCTCCCCACCCTGTTTTTCCTATTTTTTTCATAACAAAGTTAAAATTCTTCTTTGAGCAGTTGTGTCCAAATACTTCTCAGTTTCTTCTTGGCAAAAGTGACGGTGAGACAGAGCCCCTGACCTGCACAACATTCTAGATTGGTGTTAATTATTAGTCAAATTGCCCGTTGGCAACATAAATTCTTTCTTTAGTCATATTCTATTTTTTTAGGCTAGAAACACAAACATTGCACCCCCTAAGCAAGGTTCTAGAAAAATGATCTTAGTGAATTCTCTACTCCCTGGGGTTTTAAGCATCACATGAAGATTCAGTGTCACTTAATGATAGGACCTTGGGTACCAAGGGACAAATTCTTATGCAGTACTTCTTCACGAAGCATATTTGAGAAGATGGAGGGTCTTGCATAACATTGTTCCTCTTGGGATGCTTCCTGTTAGCCTCAGTCCTCAGATCTATCTCCAGTGAGCCAAATTTGGATCCTGAGCTCCTGGGCCCCATCAGACAGCAGGCATCAGTTATCTGTCTGTATTCTAGTTAACTCGGCCTCTAAGGAGGGTCATAAGGAGCACCACTAGAAAGTTTGAATCAAGGTATAGGATTAAGGTTACCATATTTCCAGTTCTAAAAAAGAGGATATCTTTCGAGCTGGGAGTGGATATATGGTTATGAGGGGAAGTGATATGATGATGCCCTGGCCCTGCCGATTCTGTTGCCCCTCACTCAAGCCACAGACCCCAGACCTGCTGCAGTCCCTCACTCCCAAACCAGGGACCCCTGGTCCTGCCAGTACCCCTCACTCCCAACCCACAGTACTCTTCCCCCCTGGGCCATGCTGGTGCCCCTTACTCCCAACCTGCAGCTCTTCCCGTCCTTGCTGGTGACCCTCACTCCTGACCCACAGCACCCTGCCCTGCACTCTGGACTCACACTCTCCAGCCCCTCACTTCCAAGCCTCAGCCCCCTGCTCTTTCTGTCACCCAGCTGCTCACCCCTGTAACCTTTTCCCCACTGTGGGCTGCTACCTATAACTTAGCCCCCTCCACAAGTTGCAGTCCCACATCCCATGTTGATCAGATGCTACTGCAAGAGGAATAGATCAAAAGCGGCAGGTGCTAGGATTGCGGGAGTGCCTTCCCTGCTGAGGCAGAGAAACTAAACTGAAGATGGTAGGTGCTAGGACCCTGGGGACATCTCCCCTGCTCCCAGGCAGCCAGGCATTTCCTGGCTGCAGTCCAGGCACCTGGACAGCTTCTACCAGTGCCAGCAGCCACTGGCTCCCCTTGCACAGCTGAACTGAGCAGAGCAAAATCCCAGATATTTGATTAGATTTAAAAAACTCACCTAGACAGAGAATGGAGGATCAAAAAAGAGGACATGTCCAGGAAAACCCAGACTTATGGTAACCCTAGATAGGTTACTTTCTCCTTTGATGACTGAGTCCATGCAGAAGAATCCTCTGTGTTTGACTTATCTCTGGTTCAACAGTTGGAGCGCAGTGGAGAGTCTAAGAAGGGTCCTTCTGGACTATTCAGAAGGTGCAGTGGGAGCTCGTAAACAAAGGCCGTATCTATTTGTGCACCCATCCTCCAGCACCCATGTTGCCCTGTGGGGTAAGGCCAACCCTCAGGATCTCAATATTGTGCTGTTAGACAGCAGGGTGTGACACAATTGCACATATACAAACACACAAATCAATTAGGTGCATACACACACACACTACCAGTTCAGGCACATACACATCCAAACCAGCCTAGGCACATACATACCTATCACCAGTTCAAGCACATACACTGTACACCCCAAAAGTTAGACACAGATTATTAATTCATATATCATGCACACAATGACATATATATATATATATATATATATGTCAGGAAAGAAACTGAGGCAGAAACCTGGTTGCTCAGGGGAAAAATAAAAGGCAGTGGGGATAAGACAGTGGCAAAGAAACAGGGGACTTGGAGGCAGAGAAGAGCTCAGGACAGGCATTGGAGGTGGCAGTGAGCCAGAAGCAGGAGAGGGAGAAATGAGACCGAAGTTAGAGGAGCGAGGAGCGGAGATTGGAGCAGGGCCAAACCATAGTAAAGCAAAACCCAACTTAGGGGTCCAATTAACAGTTTTATTAAACAGACAACACACTACA